ATGTTTAATAGGCTTAAACAGGCTAACAGGCCTAGGCTAAGGCTTTTTTTTTTTGGTATAACCTGGAGGGTATCCGCATTCAACCTCCTCCGGTCACCTTGTCCTCGGAGTACAGCCCGAAGGCTAGCTCCTCATTGGAACAACGGGTGCATTGAGCTTCGCTACCAGAGGAAGGATGAGACTAATCCCCCCTTCGAGGACAGAGACACGTCCTCTGGCCCTCAAAGATTTTCCAAGAATTTGCTTGAGAAAATATTTGAACCTATGACCCAAGCAAATCCTTAGAAGCTCAGTTGCCAACTGAGCTACCCTTGGGGGTTCAAGGCTTTTTTTTTTAAATATAGGTCAGGTCAGACTTATAATTTAGGGCTTACATAGGCTAAAAGGTCAGGGAAGACCCAATATTTTTTACACAGGCCTAGCCTATTTAAGTCATAGTCTAGCTTAGCCTAGCCTATTTACACCCCTAATTTCCCACATGATATGGTAATGTGAGTTTTCACTTGAGAGGATGCAGATCCCTTTATGATATATGGACTTTAGAAAATTTTAATGACAAAACTTATAAAATATAAAAGATCATTTTAATTGCTAACCATTAATTTATCAATGAATGATAGATTTTTCAGATAATATGATCATATTACAAAGACATATGAGAATATCCATTCAATTAATATTTTGATTTCTATCATCCGAACTTCATTCGTAATACAAGAATGCGGATATTACTAGAAGTACCTATAACCGAAGCCACACAATCATATGCTTGAATGAGAATTAGCCCCACACTCAAAAAAGTGTTGGGACAATTTCATAGAAATTAAGATAAAACTGGAGGCCTTGGAATATCTTCTAGTGGAAGGTTCAAGTTCTTCTATTCAGAAGACAATTCTACTTATCCCACCACCTTTACGTAACGGAGAATACTAAGTAGTCAATTTGTTTTTATTTTTTTGTCAAAATTGTAGATAGAATGAGCTTCTGTACTCATGTAGCTGAATTTTATTGAAATCCTATCTAATTGTGAAACAGAAAGTTAGGATGGTAGAGTGTGTGAGAATCTCGTTTTCATTTGATCTCTGATGTTTTTGTTTTCTTGAAGTCTACCTCAAGTAATTGATACATATAAAATTCAAATGATGGTATGCCTATTTACCAATAAGGCTTAACCAACCAATTAAAATTTTGTAATTTGCCAACTAAATAATTTAACATGTAAGCAATTATGTCACATTATTAGATGGTCATGGTCCCCATCAGTAAATACATAATTAGTAAACGACATGTTGATTTTTTTGGTACAGAGCTAAAGGTAACCAAAAAAGAAATTATAACTTCCTGGTAAAGCAAGTAATAGCAATTGAATATCACAAGGAGTATATCCTGAAAATGGCAGAAGGAAGAAGATTGAGAAGAGGCCAACTTAGCAGGATGAAAATTAAAGTTCAAAAGATTCCCTTACACAATGACATATTGATTGAGAAACTTAGATAAAAACATTAAAATGAGAACACTAATATTGTTTTTAGATTAAAAATATGGGAATGTTATCTGGTACAAAAGCTTTTGGAGGAAAATTGTTATAAATGTTTCATAAATAATCATGGTTGAAAAAAATAAAGCTTGAAAAATAAATGGATAAATAATAACTTTTTTTTTTTACAAACTGTTTCAAGAAATTTATTGTATCATTTAGTACTTTTTTTCTAAATATTGTGTCCAAAATATAATATTTTTCAAATTGATTAAAACTTAGAATTTCATTTACACGTGCTATGCAACTCAAGTTTTAATAAAAAAAAAATAGCAGCGTCATATTTATAAATTTTTTATTTACAAACTACCAAGGAAGCACGGACACTTGTAAAAACAAGAAGAGTCGAGTCCGACACGCTCCGACACGGCGACACGCTCCGACACGGTGTCGGACACGCGGTTGACTTTTTCCGACACGTTGACTATTCCGACACGCAAATTTGACCGTGTCCGACACGGTCAAATGGCATTTTCGTAATTTTTTTTTAATTTTTTTAAAAAATTTTTTTTTTTTAAAAAGTTAAAATATATTAATAAAACTTCCACCTGATCATATCAATTTTATCTTTTTGTCTTTTTTCCACTTAAGTAGATAAGAGATCATCTCAGCATCATTGTTGTCAATTCCCATCACGCTCTTGTTGTATCTCTCTCTAATATGATTTGATCTCTCTATCTGATATTATATCTCTCTCTCATCCCAGTTCGTATTTTTTTTTATTAAAGCTTCCATCTTTATAACGTGTTGATGGGTATTATTAATTTAGTTTCATTTTTTTGTTAAATTATTAAATATTAAATGAAATATACACTATATAAATTAAAAATATTATTTAATATTAAAACGTGTCCCAACGTGTCGAAATCCATAATTTTTTAAGATTGACGTGTCGGAGTGTCGTGTCGTGTCGTGTCACGTGTCGCGTGTCGTATCGGTGCTACATAGCAAACTACACTATATATTTCAGGGAGTACAAACACTTAAGTGTGTAATTCCTGGAGTACATAATGTAACTTGTAAACAAAAAGTTTATAAATATAATTTATCCAAAAAAAATATCAATAAAATTAAAGAAGTAGCAATGATAGTGTATTTATAAATTATAATGGCATTGAAGATGATATCCTTAAAATTTAATCAAAATACACTAGCTTTCTTACTAAAGTTAAAATATAATTTCTCTAGTAACAATATAACAATAATTATAATATATTTTACTTTAAAATCAATTTATGTTTAAATTTTATACATATACAATCTATATGTATAGATTATAAATTGTACTAAAAAAATTAAATTAAATCCTTATGTACCAAAAAAAATTATTAAAATTAAAACAAATCCTAAATTATAATACTTGTATGGCTAGATTAGCTTTATTTCATAATATGTAGTAAAATCGGAACTGTTGTGTACATGTAGTTATTTTTTTCAAATATTTTTCATGTGGACTAATGACATTGAAGAATAAATAATAATAATTAGTTAAATGTGAGAAATAAAATATTATATATAAAAAAAAACAAGTGAATGATGTATAAATCGAAGAACAATAAATGAATAATGTAAATAAGAATTACAAGACCGAAAAGAGACGAGTAGCACTTCTTTTCCCCCTATCTGTTGAAGTCTAAAATGCCAATCCACCTGAATCCACATCGTTTGTAGGAAATAAAGCCACTAAGAATGTATCAAATGTCAATTCCAAAAAATGAATTGTCAAATTAAAAAATAGAAATTCAGTCAAGTTAGTTGATCATTGATGATATGTTGCCCCCACACCCATCCTTTGGCGCAAGGAACATACAAATACAAATGATGGGTTACTCTCCATAAAACCTTATATATAACTGTCACGTGATATGTCCACGCTCGTCCAACATGGTGTACCCCATGGAATAATCACACGTCCTTCGCCAAAAAGAAGTCACAATTTGCATCCCCCACCATTTTAGCCTTGTCATCAACACCCACACAACACATAAATTGATACAAACCCACCACACATTTGAATTACACTTAAAATACATGCCACAAGAGAAAGAGGTAAAATAAAATAAAAAAGCAACGAGAACTCGAAAAAGAAAAGAGAGAGAGAGATAGTGCTTGGGGAACCATGCTTTCCCAACTTTTTCCCTTGGTGTTGCTGCTACTTGCAGCCAATCCACATCCTTCACACGCACGAAAATCCAATTCAGAACAAACAAGTTTTGAATAATGTTTGTTTGTTTAATAAGCAAAGATCTAGCTGATGGGTTGTAATGAACCCGTCCTTTTCACAAGATTATGGATTAGTTAATTAAATTTATTGGGATTTAACAAATCGGATCAATTTATTAGGTGGGCAGTGTTTAGGGTGCTGAAAGCTTTCCCATTTCCATATATGCCATAGGGATTGAAGTGGTCAAACCACCTATATAATGTATCTCTCTCCACTCTTTTCAACCCATTTCTTTTTCTATTGGGATTCCCATCCTTTTCATCTTCTTCTTTGCAAAACAAACAATACTTAATTGAAAGAGAAAGCTCACATGATTACAGTCAGCAAAGCAAAAGCCCATTTCAGCATTTTGCGGAACCCACTCTCTGTCTTTGAAATTGTTTCCTTTATATATGCATTAAAACCCATTAACAAGTCACTCCCGCTCTCCATGCTTGCACAGTTCCGGAATCTCGGTATTATTCAATTCAATCCTAAAAGTGTATGTTCAATGTATTCACTTAATAGCTTTCAGTATAGTTATAGAAAAATATATTGTTATTATTAGTCAAAACGATAATCTCTTATTAATAACGTTTAAAAATTGCTGCTTAAATAACATAAAAATTCTCGGTGATCTTGGGATGATGATTTTCACTTTTAACATCCCTTCATCTAGAATTCAGACATTCTTACCAACGCATTCGCAGTAAAATTCAGAAATTCAAAAAGATCGTGATTGAGTATTCTTCCTAATTAGTACGAAGAACACAGTTACTGAAACGCTATTTTGTTTTTCAAATAAATAAATAAAAAGAAGGGCCACTCCCTTGCTTGACATATAATGCTACTTTTTGTAAAGAAAAGACAAGATACGTTCGGAGTTTAATAAGTTGTTGGTGGGTGGCAGAATTTTTTGCTTAGCTTCGTGTAAGGTACCCACCAAGTAAAATTTGCAGTGAAATGTTAAACAAATCAACCATATAATGTAATATTACTAAGTCACAAATATATGTGTTATGACAGTCAGTTAGTTAAACAAGTAATCTACAGAACTGCGTTTAATGACAGTGAGTTCAAGAAAAAAGAAAAAAAGAAAATCACTATGCATTCAATTGTCCACTGTGATTCGAAATCTGCACAGACTCGGATTTACTGTGTAAAAATGCAAAGAGAGACTCAAAATGAATTTAATCTTCAATTTTCTTTTTTTCTTTGCTCTATTCACTAACAAAATTTTCTTTGATTTACAAAGCGACGAGTAAGATCAAATTCAGAAGGGCATGATATGGGTGGTTTTGGTGTCATAGGAAGAAAGACACGACTTAGAGTTAACCCTGAAGATCTTAAGCAAATCTAAAGACATTTGGCGCACTGTGGGGGAACAATTGCTCTGCATCAGAAGCAGAATCTTCGTCAAGCCATTGGCCTTTGTGACCGCTTCTTGTGCCTTCTGATCTCGAAAAAGATAACACACACTCCACAACGTCGTCACCGCGTGCTCTGTCGCCGAGCTCGATACCTTCAGAACCTTCTTCAGTATCGCCGGCACGCACTCCGGTTCCTCGCATATCTCCGTTCTCCCTTCCTTCGTCGACGACATCGTTTCAAGCAGCTTCAGCACCTTCTCCGTCACCGAAACGCTCAAATTCGACGCCGAAAGAAGGTTCGAGAAGACCTTGATGGCTCCGAGATGGACTAGCTTCGTTTTGTTCCTTTTCGGCGTCGAAATTGCAACCAAGCACGACAAGCTGCTCTCGATTAGCGCCGGATCTTTCTCCGGTGTTATTTGATTGAGCAATTCCGATACCAGGCCTTCCTTTTCCGCTATCAACAGCTTCGATTCTGCGTCTATGGCGATGGATTCCAAAACCCTAGCCGATGCAATCCTTGAATCACAGCTTCCTTGTTGCAGAACAAGAAGAACAGAATCTATGCTCTGTCCATGTCCATGTCCATGTCCCTGTCCCTTCAGGATCGAGTTTTTCAACCCCTCGCGATCTTCCGTTTTACAAAGAACCAAATCCAACGCCTTCACAACCTGTTCCAGGAATTCGACGCTCCGTTTAGCTCCGTCATTGACATTGTGGAGGAAACCTACCAGCACGGGCACGAGACATTTCTTTCTCGCGAGGAAATCACGGTTCTCTTCGGAATCTTGGGCGAAACGTACGATTTTCGCGAGCGAGTCGAAGCGGTTCTCGCCACTTGACTCCAAGTCGGTGATGGCGAGGAGGATTTGGTCCTTGGAAGGGGCCGATTCGGTAGAGGCGGGGGACTCGGGCGAGTCGACTCGGTGGCGGACCGAGTCGGACCAGATCTGGATAAGCCTCTGTAAGGTGCGGTTAGGAACGAAATCCTTGCTGTGGAGGACCTGCATGGTGGCGGGGCAGGTGTTGTTGCCGTTGTCGAGCCAGCGTTGGATGCTGGAACGGTCGTAGGTTACGCCTGTGCAGAGGCTCACAGGGGATTTCATCACGTCGAGTGATATTGGGCATCGGAATAAGCTGGGAACCGTTATGTAAAGATCGTCTCTAACCATGGCTGGCGTCTCAGAGTGAAAATGAAAATGAAAATGAAAAAATGAAAAAATAAAAAAGCTTAGCGAAGCGAACTGTGCTGAAGAATCAGAGAAAGAGAGAGAGAAGTAGGAGATGGAGCAGACACGAGAAAGGGCTGTTTAAAGAAAGGAGAGAGAGAAAGGGGAGAGTCAAAGGTACGGTGACGTCAGATTCTAACCTTTTTAGTTTTTATTTACTTTGAATATTTTTATTTTTTTTTAGAATATAAATTTGTTTTTGAGGTGAATAATATTCGTTGCTTGCGTTTTTGGTCTTTGGTCAAAGAGAGAGTGGTTCATAAGTTTGTTTCCTGAGGGAAGGTGGTCGTGTGCGTTGCTAGGATTTTTGGGGGAGGAGATGATGACCGTTGGATTCCACCACAAGGTGATGATAGCGGGTGGGATGAAAAGGGATCACACGTGCGGGGCAGGAGAAAGTGGTTTATATATAGGGTGGAAAATGATCAGGTATCATGAGGAGGAGGAGAACGTGGGGTGAAGCGGTGGGGACAGAGAGAGGAAGCAGATTTTATTGAATTTGCTTTGGTAGTAGTGTGTGAGTGTGAGGTAGGTCCCAATAAGGGTTCCATCGGTCGGGGGATGATTACATCATCCGTAAGTTGGGGGGAGTCGTTGACAAGACATGCTTCAACCGGAGGAGAGCCCTCTTCCCTCTGTAGTATTACAGGATATTTTTATACCTTTTTGTTTATATGAAAAATATAATTATTAAAATTAATTTATTTCTTTTTTGGTATATTATTTTATTTCTTTTGTCTAGGGGTGAAAATTCATCGGCAGTGATTCCTGGTATCCTACTATGCGACATAAAATAATGTCATATTACTGTTCAGATATAAATTATGAATGAGGTTTTCTTCTCACTTTTTCTTCTAATATTTGTTTTTATCATTGTTAATTCATATATAAATATATAGAATTATTTCTTATGACATCATATCCTATGAAAAAATCGATTTCCCAATAACCAGGCAATATACGAGAGATTTATGTTATAATGCATTGACACGACACGCCGACACGTTAATTCAAAAAATTATCATATTTCGACATGTTAGGACACGTTTTGATATTAAATAAAATTTTAAATATATATAATATAATTTATATTTAATACATATAAGAATCCATAATAAGTTATGTAACCAATCAAATATTTAAATTTCATAACATAAATATAAATATAAATGATTTTTCGAACTTTGTTAATTTTTCATGTCAAATTTCATAACAAATTAAAATTAAAATTATTTTATTTATATTTATTTAACAAAATAAAAATAAAATTAAAAAAAAAACTAAACAAAACGTGTTGGAGCATGTCCGAGCGTTGACTCTGTGTCTCCAAATATTGACCTTAAGATCGCTGTCGGACATTTCATTTAATAGTATTTTAGATATCCGTGTCGGACAATACAATTTTTAAAAAACTTGCGTGTCCGTGCTTGTTAGGATTTATGACATGATCTACTTTATGCTGAATCTGATTTAATAGATTTAATAAAATAGAATATATTTAGAATTAAAAAAAGTATTTGAAAAAAAAGGTACAAGTTTGTCTAATATAACTTATGTATTTTTAACAATTTATAACTATATATTAAGGATATTACATAGTTATAATATTAAAATTATAATTTTATATTACATAGTTATAATATTAAAATTATAATTTTTTCACTTTTCATGACAGTAAATAGTGTTTGAAAAGAGAAAAAAAATTTTAATATTATAATTATATATTTTTCTTAATACATAATTATAAATTGCTAAAAAGACATAAGATATATTTTTTTAAAAATAAATCATTTCCCAAAAATAAACTACAGACCTATCTTTAAAAAAGGACAAATCTTTTGAATAAAATAAAATTATTTTAATTACTTTTAAAATATTTTTATAAGTTTAAAGGTCTAGTAGGTTTAAATAAATTAATAGGTTAATTTTCTTTATTTCTTAAATAAATTAAGTTAGCCATAGAAGTTAAACCACACCAAAATAATAGATTAGGATATGCTTAAAATATTTTATATAAACATTATTTACATAGATCAATGTCTAATCAAACATATTTACAGTTTACACCCGTTACTTTTATTTCTAAGTTCTCATTTAAAGATAGAATATTATATATTAATATTTTATGTCATTATTAAGAATAAAATGATATAAAGATAGTATAGAAATAACATTGTCCATATATAATTTTTTAACATAAAATTACCAATTCATAGTTTAATTAATCGTTCTACTTCATTTATTTATCTTGTCTGTTTTATCTTTAAATTTTAATTTTTTATTTGCAAAACACACGCGCACAGTATAACTTTTTTAGATGCTTGATTTTTTCATTATTCATGCGCAATTTATCCGCTGCTTCTCTTTTTCATAAAACTCACTACTATGTTTCGCTTTCGTGTGACAACGAAAAATCAAATTGACAAAGAAGATAACAATTTAACCTTTACGTTGTAAATAAAATTTGTAGGCTAAGTTGAACTCTTTAATTGATATGATTTATTCAAGTATATATGATGTTCTAAACTTTTATATTTCAATAATTGACATAATTGGTCGATATTATGACTAAAATTGCATACTTTATGTAGCTCAGTTGGCAACTGAACTCTCAAGAATTTGCTTGAGTCAGGGATTCATAGGATGTGCCTCTCTCCTCGAATGAAGAATTAGTCTCATCTTTTATTCGGTGGCAAAGTTCAATGCACCCGCTGTTCTAATAAGGAATAACTTTCGAGGCCGTACTCCGATGACAAAGTAATTGAAGGAGTTGAATGGGGACCTCCAGGTTATATAAAAAAATATTTAAATTGTTATGTGATTTAATTTTAGTTATATAAATATTTGTTATAAAATGATTAGGAATTGAAAAAGACAAACAAAGGGCCTGTTTTATTTGTACTCTCAAAAACAGTTTTTTTGTTTTTAAAAAAAAAGTTATTTTTTTTTTTAAAAGTGATTCTGAAAATTATGATTATTTTTTTGATTTAAAAACTAAAAAAAAGAAAAAAAAATAGCGATATTTTCAAAAGTTATTTTTTGATTCTCTGTTTTTGCGATGAAAATTTTATAAATATAAGGATTCGTTAATATCACTTTTGTAAATAAATTTTATTTAGTTTTAATTTTAAATTATTTTACAGTGATAATCTTGTAATTATGATATCTCATTAATAACATTTTTGTAAATAATTATAATTTTTTTATAACTTAAAATCTAACTATACACAAACATATTTTATTGTTATTTTAGTTTCAAAATGAATTTTCAAAATGTATATTCAAAACAGTTCTTAAAAACAAAAAATAATAACATGTTCAAACAGATCCAAATTAAGTCATTGCTGTTAAAAATCTGAAGCAGACACATGAAAAGGATTAACACATAGACAGAAGATATATTTTAATTTGGAAATTTCCATTAGCACAATTTAAGAGAAAGATTTATGATTTTTTTTTTCAAAATCACTTTTGATTACCCGAAGTTATGTCAGTATTTTAGGATTCTATACCAAAATAATAAAATCAAACTGACATTATGAAAAAGATTAACACAAAGACAGAAGATATATCTAAATTAAGGAAATTTCCATTAGCACAATTTATAAGAGAATGATTTATGATTTTTTTTTTGTCGAAATAACTTTTGATAACACGAAGGCATTACTTTTATTTAACATGTAATATAATGTAATTGTTATTTTATTGCTTTATAAAATCAAATCCACGAATTCGAAGGCATTACTTTTCAAATGGCACATAAAAAAAAAATTCAGATCACGAGATCATTAAATAATTTATATTTTTATTTAACACTGCGGTGACTAGTGAGTGTCCCTAATTTAAACGGATAACATCCGTAAATCTTATTAGTAATACAGAAATTATGACTATAACTGTTTCCTCTTACAAATTAAAAGAAAAATAATGACTCATTATATCCTATATCGTCATAATAGCACCGAAAGCAACCATTTGTAGGGCTCTACCATTTTTTCCTTCTAATCATTTCTTTCTTTCTTTTTCATTTTCTTCTTTTTTTTCTTGGTTTGCTTTCCTTTGGTAGTTCGGTCTTCGGAGGAAAGCTCAGCTTGGAAAACTGCTACCCTATTTTCCCGCACGAAACTCTGGAGAAGTAAGTGCATCTGTTCTGTATACTCCTTTATCATAAAGATAAACAATTATTTTATTTTATTTAAAAAAAAATCTGGCTATACGTTACTATAATATTCTTCTAAGACAGCCAATGTTTAATTTTCCATATTGAAATGCATACAATAAAGTAAGAATAAGAAATATGTTTGGGGAATAGAAACAACGACTGGCTAGTTATGCGTAAAAAAAAGAAAAAAAAAAAAGAAAGCCATGTGCACTGTTATCTATCAGTAACTGTTTATTTATATGCAAAAAACCAAAGTACGTGGGTTTGCATGAAAACGACGCGAGTGTGGAGCGCGTGGCTTGGACAGCAGTAAAAATTTTCAACGACAGGGACAGAGTTGTGATATTTGACCAAACGTAACGCTTCCATTTCCAGCTTTTGCTTAATCTAACCTAAATTCAGTTCGGTGTCCACATTAAACTTTAAAGCCCAAAAGGAATAAAACGTAAACTCCAATTTGGTGCGGATGCACCATACGGCACTCCCACTTCCAAGTCAAATTTGGTTCGTCTTCTTATCAACCGCTCCCATTGGCAATTCAAATCTTGTTAATTTACTCAATTAATTTATTACGAAATTATAAAAAAATAAAGAGTAAAGTCTTTTCTGAGTTCCTAACAAAAAATATAATCTCCACTTTAGTCTCTTATAAAAAAAATAATTAATCTTGAAGTTCTTAAGAAATTCAAAGTGAACCTATTTAGTTGAAATTGTGGTCTCTCACAAATTAAAAAAAGATCCATATTAGTTCTTCAAAAAGACTAAAATGAATTCACTTTGAATTTCGTAGAGATCGGGCGACTATTTTTTTTTTTTGATAAAAGACTAAAGTGAGGATTATTTTTTTTTATAGGAACCCAAA